TATGACAACAGCGTTTGCTGACGTTTTCAGCGATCTGGCTTCCAGAAGTGCCTTTGCTATTCATTTCCAAATATTCACCATTACTCCAGCCTTCAGTGTATGATCCTTCAAAACTCATTCTAATATCGGATCGAATGCAATGATTGGATGAACATTTTTTTGGTTCTGAGACTTCCACAGAAGATATACAGTATGTACATGTTTTCATATTTAGACCACTTCTATAATTGATTGCTATCAGGATGTGAAGAGTTTCCACCAGTATAACAAAACGTTTTATAAAAAAAAAAAAAAAAAATTGCCTACCCTGCCTTTAAGTCAACATGAAACACATTCATGACCCATTTTACTTCTGTCTGTTCGGCCAAAAATGAAAGGGCTTGATGTCATCCAAAAATGCAAGTCGTTTTAGAGGTGACGTTTTCAAAGGTGAGGAAAGTTGATATATATATATAAAAGATGTGCACCAATGAATTATTCACAATATGACCAAGAACATGCAGTGTATTTAGAATGTAAATCACGTCCTTTCCATTTGTGTGTACAGATCCTTGGTCTGAAAATACCAGTTATAGCTCGTAGAGTAAAGCTTCAATGTACTGGAAACCCTAGAGCTTTAGATCATTTATTGACTGTATCAAAGCCTTGTTCATGTGTTTGTTTGCAGAGCTTCTCTGACTTCACTGAACTTTATTGCTTTCGGCTGTTGTGCAATCCTGAATAAGTCTGGTGTTATCATCACCAACACTGATGGCTATGCTGAATTCTTTTTTTGCTTGATATCTAGTTGAAACCCTAACGTAATGAAATCCCATCTACTCCTGTTTGATTCGTTACAGGTAATCTCATTTCCATCTTCCTTTTTTCTCCCTTCTCGTGGCCGTGCTGCAAGGTGGCTTGCTTTCCGTAACAAAGCAGCTTTTTCTCCCCTGTTATTCTGAGCCTGTGCATGCAAAGGGACGTTTTAGTGTACTTTGTAACCCTGTCACGATTCACTGTGGGACTATTGAAAGAGACCATCTTGAGACATAAGGCATCGTTGATGGAAATTTGTTGCGACAGTCACTATTCACACATATGATGCACTTAAAAAAGGGAGACGTGGCTTGTTGGTTTGTTGCAAATACCCATGGGATGATTGGCATACTGGAACACAGTTTAGAAAGATGGTGTTTTGGCTGTATCACTGACCTTTGGCAGCAAGTCTTCTCAAGGTTGTGGACAAGCTGCACTGGCCAGGATCCACTTTGATAGAGCTGGGAAATATTTAAAATTATTTATATTAAAATTCAGGCTGATCCTGATAAGATTCCATGTTAGTCGCTGATTTTAAAAGTCAGTGCTATATTTCAAAGCAGCTTTGTGACCTTGAGGCAAAGAAACTATTAATCAACCATTTTAAATGCTACAAGTGAATTCAAGCATCACAAAATTAAAATGTGCAGTATGAAAAATGGATTTGAATCTTCATTTGGAGATTATAGATTACATTTTCAGTGTTACTTCGTTATGTTTTTAACTTTAACTTTAAGTGAATGTTAGATGGTGGCAAAAAATGAGCATGTACAATTAAATGTCTAATTGTCTAAATATCTAAATCTGTAATATTGGACATTAACCAATATGGTAACACTATGTGGATCTCTAGCAGTGATGAGACCTTATGGGTCAGTTTCATTCCCCAAGTGCAGTCTCAGTCCATCCCGGTCTGTAGGTGGTTGGATGTTATTTTATTGTGTCCCATACTTGTATCACTCTCATTGCAGGCTTTCGATTTCTGCAAGAAAGTATAGGACACCTATGGTGTGATGGTAAATACAATCAAATTGAATCTATGAAGCTCATGTGGGTGATTTTGTTTGAATGAATGTATGTTCATGATTGTGGTTGATGTGGGAGAGAAGAAGCTAAGCAAGACTATATAAAACAAATCCCACTCTATCTTGAGGCCTCTTCACCTTCCTCATGTCCACCCATATGAACTATTCAGACTTCATAATTACGACCTTGAGCGGCGCACTGCACACAGAGCAAATTCAATAAACTGCAGCCTCCCAGCTGATAGCACACTGGAGGTATGGATTTATTTTGCAATGGTGTTGCCTTGCCATCCTAACATTATTAGAAAAAATGTTTTGGCTAGGAGATTTGTTGTTTATTTTCAGAGATGACAGGTACGGACGAAAGAAGAAATCGTATCCTATAAATCAATGAGTACCCTACTTTTCACCCCTACCGTGTCATTGGTTAATTCAAACTCACTTTGTACAGCTGAACTGATGTGCATTGGCCCTTTAGATCTTGATCAGGCTTAGTGGTAATGCTGACTGATATGTGTTTTGAGAGTTATTAAAGGGACAAAGGCTGCATGCCTGCATCTGAAATCACATACTTCCCTATAGGCGAAAAAAAGTATGTGACAAAAGAAGTATGTCCGAATTCACAGTACTCATAAAAGAGTATGCAAAAAGTTCCCGGATGACCTACTTCTTCCGGCGAGGTTCGGAAGTGTGGATTTGATGGACACTTTACTATCCCATGAGACCACGGGAGAGGATATGTGAATGGCAATGAAGCGAAGTAACTGACACTGGTAGGTCACATGATAATGACAGATTACATTCATACTACACACACAAGCTGCTGCGAAGTAATTACTTATTCAAAACAAGTACCTACTCGAGAGTATACGATTTCGGACTGCTGAATTTTTGACAGCCATTACTCCAGTCTTCAGTGTCACATGATCCTTCAGAACTCATTCTAATGCTGATTTGGTTGTTGAGAATCATTTCTTATTATTATCAATGGTGAAAACAGTTGTGGTACTTAATATTTTTGTGGAAATTGTATGTGTGTGTGCGTGTGTATGTGTGTGTGTGTGGTCCTGGTACACCCTACGTTACGGGGACCAAATGTTCCTACCTACATTAGTGGAAGATAAAATAATGTTTAATTAGGAAAAATATTTAGGGCTCAAAAATGGGGTGCTGGCTTTTTCACGGATTTTCCTTTTTGTAGTTTTCTGAGGGAAGGATAGATTGTGGTGCATGACATTTCATGCTGATCAGCAAAAGTGTAATGCCCATGACCCCTCTTATTTTTTATTTCCAACTAATGTGATTTAACTTTTAACCTAACCTGGAATCTTATTGCACAGTTTGCTCGTAAAGTTTCCGTGGAACCCATGCAGTTTATGGGATCTTACTTTTAAAGACCATCTTCTGATGATTTATATACACACGTTGGGTTTGCATGTTTTATGGGGACTTTTCATTGAATTAATGATTTTTATACTGTACAAACTGCAGTTTTATGATGGTTAGAAACCTGACTTTGCTCAAATAAGATTCAATTTTGAGCTTCAAATGGGTTCAAAGATGCATCAAATGGCAATTAGTAACACAGGATACAGAGAATTGATATATTTTGTGTTATATACTTATACTTTTCTTTAAAAACATCCCTGATAGATTTGGACGTCACAAGTGGTACAAAAACACAATGAAATCTCATATCAATAGAATTGATTGCGAAGCAATTCTCTGATTCCCCCTGTGGAAGAAGATGGATAAATAGGGAGAGAAAATTGCTTTCCCTGACCTCTCACCTGTCAAAAAGAATCCATTTGAAGAGGTAAATATGCTTAGAAAGGAAATGATTGATCAGGCAACCAAAAAAGCCGATGAACGATCAGAAATAATTTTGTATTGAACTCTTCAATGTGCATTTCTGAACTATGTATAAGTCAAATGAGGACAGGTAGATTTCTAGAGGAAAAGCCTGAGTATGTTTTATTTTTGGAAACACTGACGTTTTATTGACCACAAAATCTGCTTCCTCATTGTACGCATCTTATTTTTATCTCGTTTTTAAAATATTTTTTCCCCCACAGGTGTCAGTGTTCGGCAAAGACAAAATTGAAATATTGGAAATTAAATTTGTTGCCTGTGTGATAAACTGAGTAAATTATGAATAACTTAATATATGTACATACATCAGATGTATCTTTTTTCAGGAGACAGCTGATGTAGCCTTGCTGCTTCTAAGAAAAAAATATTACAAGCTTAATACAATAATTGATATAAGTGTTTGCACATAGTACAAGATTTTATTATATTTAAACAGAATCATTTCATTGAGTTTATTTTCCTATGAGTTTCCACAGTGCACTTTCAGAGTTTATAAAATCTCTCTTAACTGTTTTACTATAATTAATGTAATTAATATTATTGTTATTTAATAAATAATAAATCAATAAAAATGACTGTAATATTTTGAAAATGAACAACAAATGGGTAAAAAGTACAGTGAAGGTTGTTGTTTTTTTTACCTCTGACCCTTAAAAGTCCATTTTTATGGTGCAATCTGATCCATGCACTTGACTAAAAGCAGTTCATTTATATTTTATCACATAACCACATCTATAAGGTCAAATGTCATATTTAAAATGTATACCTCAATGGAGAAACAGAAAGAAAGGTTACACAACCATTTAAAATGAAAATAATAATAATTAATAAATCATAAAACTGCAGGAATTTTCTCATGAATCTGTATTGTGTTTTCGCTATGAAATGTGTGAGCATTCAACAGACTTTGAACTGGCATTATCTGTTAATTAGTTCACCTGCTTCTAGACTATTTTATAATGCAAGTTTCCATGTTGTATAGAGTAAAAACAATATCATGCAGGTAACCTAAAAAGGATGCGTCATGTAGCTGGTTTTAAGTCATAAATGAACCTGACTTAATTAAATATTTTTTAGGTTAAATCAAATAAACCTACCTCTTCATTTTCACATTTTTACTTTTTACTGTGTTTATTTCACCCTTAAAGCTATAATTAGCATTTTGGTGAATAAGGAATGGGGTGAAAAAATTAATGAGGCATATTGGCATATGAAGATCGGTGGCTTGAGACGTAGACGTCAGCTAGGCGGGGGGTAATAAAAACTCCCATTCATCCCAAGGAGGGGCATAATTGGCTTGACCACATCTTGAAACCTCTATCTGTGGCAATAATGTACTACTTCTGCATTTAGCGTTTGGTGAACTCCAGTCCCACTGAAACAATGGGTTAGAAAACCCTCCATCGACTTTACCAAGCACAGACTCTCGTTTCAAAACCAAACTGACTAAATCCTTTACATAAGCCATAATTAATGGTGCAATGATTGAGTCCAACATGAGTCGGGGTTGCGCGTGGTGCGCTGGAGGAGGTGACGGGACCAGCGCGCATTTGGATGAGAATCACTCAGAACAAAGTCTGAGCCCGACGGGACACTTGGTGGTCGCGGTGTGCCTTGGATTCATCGGGACTTTCGGGTTTCTCAACAACACGCTCGTTCTCATTCTGTTCTGTCGCTACAAAGTGCTGCGCTCGCCCATGAACTATCTTCTGGTGAGCATCGCAGTCAGTGATCTGCTGGTGTGCGTCCTCGGCACTCCGTTCAGCTTCGCCGCCAGTACGCAGGGACGGTGGCTCATCGGACGCGCGGGATGCGTGTGGTATGGCTTCATAAACTCATGTCTGGGTAAGTCCATATGTTATAGCGATGTCAATAAACGATTTAAGTAGGATTCGCATGCAGTTGCCATAGTTTGGTACTTTGGAATCACGCAAGCCACATTAAAACGCGTTTTTTAATCGTGAAAGTGTTATGATAACGTTTGTGTAGCCCATTAGATAGCCTACTTCATACGACCGATGTTTTAACATTCTAAATGCGTATTTTCACAACGTTGCATAAATGTTTTAGCACATTCCCTTTGGGGCACTTCGGGAACCTCGCTACGACGTCTAATCTTCGTCGCCGTCAAAATGTTCATGTCTTTCGAAGTAAACTTCTACCAGTAACAGAACAGTGTGAGAAATAAAGAGGGATATGTGCAAGTATATTTTTATACTTATTTATGCTAACTTATTGTTCTGAACTCAAGTTATGTCATGACTATATACAATTTGAATAACCGACAATAGATACCAGCGTTCTAGTCGTATTTTCTTTTAAAAATCCTCCTTACCTTTAGGTAACCTATACACTTGAATGATATCTGAAAAGCAATCGTGTAATTTTCATGGTTTTAATAGAATTCTTTTCCATTATTTCTCGTGATGTAGGCGTCTCGCTTCAGAAGCCTCCTCAGACTCGTGCTCGCGCTGCTAGTTTAACGGGGCTTTTTTCCGCCAGGCAGATAGAACTATTTCCCATTCTAAAAGTTGCAATAATAGGCCTATGAATAATTGCAACTTTTCAAGTGGAATGTTTGCTGTTGTGGTAAACTACCCGTTGTTGGCACAGATATATTTCCCATTAAAGTTGGAAAGTTTATTGGGTAACACTTTAGAAAACTGTTCCTTCATTAATGAATTTAACATTCTAGTAACTACTATTAACTAACAAAAAACTCTGATTAACACATAAGTAGGCTAATAGCGCTGTTGAATGTGGTAGTTCAGCTAATCAGTAACTATTTTTCATATGGCTATAGAGAACTACCTATACCGGTTCATAATTAACATGAATAATGCATCATTTATAATAAAAGGTAATGGTAACCCACTAGTAATGACTCAAGTGTTACTACAGGAACTACTAATTATTTGGATCAGTATTCTAAAGCAAAAAACATAACTACCTAATATTGACTGAAGTCATTGTAAGCTTTTGAAATTTTTGTAAGATTTTGAAGACAATGACTTCGGTCAATATTAGGTAGTTATCAAGCTTTTCAATTTAGAATACTGATCCAAATTATTAGTAGTTCCTTTAGAAGGATGTAGTAACACTTGATTCATTACTAATGGGTTACCATTACATTACCTATATACATTATTCATTATTAATATTAATTATGAACCATAGTAGTTCTTAGTCTTCAGAGAGGTATGAAAAATAGTAGTTACATGATTAATAGTGAACTCGACTGAGCGCTATAACTTACTAATTCGCTAATCAAAGTTTCTAGTTAATAGTAGTTAGAATGTTAATAGTCCGTTACTCATTTGTTCCTGTGTAGTTATTCATTAATGAAAGAACAGTATTCTAAAGTGTTACCATTTATTGCAGTATAAACACCCAAATAGCTACAGCGTCCCACCAACGTTGTTTGGGCTGTTTTTTTATTATTATTATTAAAATACCTCATATTGATATACACATTCTTTATGATAAATATTTTTTCAACAATTGACATTTTTTGTGATTCTATCCTTTATTTTTTTCTTTTTTTACGTGTGGTTTCTTGATTTTTTTTTTCTTTATAGCACAGAATCCAAAAACGAATGGACCTGTAACATAGGCCTAAACATCATAGCTTCTTCATCCAACATGTATATATATGTTTACACATAATAGGAAAGCAGGATAACTCCCCTCGGCCCATAGATGGCAATCAGTTTAAAAGAATGTTTTCTTGTTGATAGATTAAACTCCTCGTGTTTATCTGCTTTAGTTTATGGAACATGTGTTGTGCACAAAATAGTGTAGGCTACTATAGTACCATGTTTCTGGAAATATATAGTCTACAGACTGCAATACACTGTCCTATTCCAAAGTACATGATCTGATACCATAACGTGGTGGCACGTATAGCCTACATTTTTGTATAGGGGTGCGAACAAGAAAAGTCAAATACTCGAGTCTACACCAAAAAGAAATGCTCGAAAGTACACTAAAAAAGTTCAACCCACTAAAATTGAAACCTTGCCAAGGTTACAACCCAAATTAATTAAGTTCATTGTACTTTTTAACCACTTTTAATTCATTTACTGATGAATAAAATGAAGTTGGAACTATTAAATGAGTTGAAAACTCATTAACGCACAATAAATGACAAATTATTGTAAACAAAGATGATGAAAACATTTTACAGTGTACTGTTGAAAAGGCCCATAAGTCTCCATAATTGGAATAAACACACCAGGGCAGAGGTGTATTCTTCTCCTAATTGGGGTTTAGCAATCGACCTGAAGGTGTGGAGAACTGTTTTCAGGGAAAAGAGATGTGTGCTGTCCTGTACTTGACCCATAACACAAGCTCTGATGGGGCAGAGATGAGTGTATAGTATTTCCAGTCAGTAGAATAGCTGTTTTGTGGTTAATTAACAGGTGTCACTTTTCTCATGCCAGCAGCCCTTAAGATCGAATTGGTGTGTTTTATATGACAACAGATTTTTACATCAGTGCTTATAAACTCTAGAAGTACAACCTAGTTGGTAATTAAAGAATATTGTTGATTCATTGTAATTGTCAAAACCTAAACCTAAACCTAAATGTCAGGGACCTTGGCTAAACAAAGCAGAATGAATCGGCATTGGTTCGATAAAACTGTGCTTATGGGAGAAGTAGGCCTAGTCCTAACTACACGCGACGTGACGCACGATAAAAGGTATCTTTTCCATGTTAATCAGAGTTTTTGTCCTATAACCAGCCACGACGGCGACACGCGACGAGTCTATTTTTCACGCGACGATTCATTTTTCTGCGACGTCGCGGCTGGAACAACAAACACAAAGTGTGGCAATGAAAATCTAAGGTAGCCTACTGTGTATGTGCTTTATTTAATGTTAAAAGCATGCAATGTGACTTTGAATATCATTTAGTGCTCCCAGCTTTGTAGCTCTAAAAGCAACAATGGATAATTCACCTCAGATCTTGAAATTAAACAACTGGAAACAAGAACGTTCAAACTGTGAACAAACAAGTGTATTCTTTGACAAAGATTATTTTAGTAACTCAGTAGCCTGAATTTTTAATAATGTTTAAATGGTGTAATATTTGTGAATTTGATAGGCTACTTATCCATTTTCTTGCGAGTGATTTTGACGCATCCTGCAGTCGCGTCTACTGTGGACAGACAAATTATTTGTCCCTAAGTGTGCTTTTTATGGAGAAAAGCTCTGTAATCAGTTCCACTCCTTGAAAGCCTGATGACAAATGCCTTTCATTGCTTTGAAAAGGCTCATTACTTGCTTTCTTGATTAGCTTTCATCAGGAACCACCATGATTTAAGTTGCTTCTTTTCTCGTTCACAATGTCTAATGCCATAATAATGCTAATTGTAAGCAGTGGACTATAGATTTCTTTCACTGATTATCTACCTTGAATAAATTACACTAACAATGCTAATGCTTGTATTAAGCTACTTGTAAGAAATATCAGCCTTTATTCTTCACTCTAAAAAATGCTGGGTTGTTTTAACCCAACTTTGGGTCAAATATGGACAAACCCAAACGTTGGGTTAAAAATGTAATTTAAAAATTTAACCCAACGGCTGGGTTTGTCCATATTTGACCCAAAGTTGGGTTGTAACAACCCAGCATATTTTTTTAATCATCAATATAGCAAACACATTGTCAGGCTCATGAAAACATTGCTTCATCCAGATGTTACACGGTGTAGGTTTTATATACACACACACATATCAGGCAGGGAAATATGACTATTAACATTCAAAATGTTCTCAAGATATTTATAGTTTAAATATTCAAGCTAATGGTCTCTTTAAACAATTCTTGAGCGAAGGTCTTTCTAAGAAGCTTTCTTTATGATGAAAATGGCAGGATTTTGAGAGATAATTTTCATGAAATAATCTCCCAAAGAGTTTACGCAAGAGACCGGAAACAGCACATTGCAGGTTTTGTCTTTTTCTGCTTAACAAAGTTTGGTGAATTCTTCGAATTCACACAACAACAACAACAAACCTAAACGCCTGCATAAATTGACCACTTGGCTGATTAAAATTATTGTAGAGTCCTTATTTCTTTGCTTAATTAAAGCCTAATGTGACTACACATTTGAATAATAAATATGGTAGGGTTGCAACTTCTGACACTTTGTTATTATAATCCTGTATTTGTTTGCTACAAATGATAGTTTCTAGAGTTCATAAATAATGCACTGAATTGAGTCAGTACTCTGTACTAAAAGCAGTACTGTTTTGTTATTGTTTGTCGCATCAACGTAAGTACCGGCACATTTGACACCTTTACTTTGCACTATTATACATTTGGCTTGATCGTGAGAATACACACTCCCTTGCGCGTTACCAAGAGACCTTGCAGTTAGTCATATCTCAAATGAGTGTGAACACCTGCTCTTCACAGTTAAAATGGCAGTGACATGATAGCTGCCTTCAGTTTCTGGTGAGATATTTTAAGATCCACCTGGGTTTTTTGGTTTTGTCAGCACAAATGACAGTACACTATACAATGAGAGGAGGAGTGCACAATGCAACAGAAGTGTCCCTTACAAGATGCACCAAAAGCTGTCTGCATGTGTACAGTGTGGTGCACTGATAAGGATGTTTGCCTTGTTCAGATCTTATAAGACTGTAAATTACCAATGTAAATCAGCTTCTTCTAAAAAAAAAAAAAACACTTAAAAAACCCCACTAAAGCAGGTTTTCTGAAGAGGAACTCGATAAGATGAGACGAATAACACTTTGTAGTAGTAGAAGAAACAGAGAATTCTGGGAATGTCAGTGTAAGGTTTTTCAATGCTGTTTTAAGATGAGCCGTTGTTGTTCACTTCCAAAAACTACATTTAACAGTATTTTACTATTTTTAAAAAAAGTCCCATTAGATCTATTACAGTTTTTCACTTGTATAGAGTAAGGGAACTTAACATAGCTTTTTTTTTTTTTACAGTCTTTTACTGTTAAAATTACAATATATTTTTTTAAATAGTTTTTTTTTTTTTTTTTAAAGCTACAGATGCAAAACAGGTACACTGAATTTGTTTTTATGATTTACTTTGCGTCACATGTCAGTGCATGTTTGGACTTTCAGTTTGTGTTTTGATTGGTTCCTGTTTTCCTTTCTTTTTTCCTGCCACTCCTTCGTTTCTATGGTTACTATGTATAAGTATAAATAATTTGTCCCAGCTGTGTATGATTATCTCGTTTCTGTTTGCTATTTCAGATGCACCCTTTCTTTCAGGCCCCGTTTACACGTACATGGTTATTTTGAAAAACAGAGACATTTCCCTTCGTTTGTGCCCTTTATTTACACGCAAATGGAGAATTTGCCTCTGAAACCGATTCTTTCTAAAAACTCCGGCCAAAGTGGAGATTTTGGAAAACTTCGTTTGCACGTTTGCATGTAAACTTAGAAAACTGAGTTTTAGGCAGCCGATATCACAGTATGCGACAGAACTTGCACCTGCGTCAAAAGTGCGACCTTGCGAATCGATTCGTTCGATTGGCTAACATGGGCTTGAGCCTCTTGTTACACTACCACCTACAGGTTTGGCATGCTCTTGAAGGCATATACACGGGTTCGTGTAAACGAACACTTTTCTGAAAACTGACAGCTGTGCACAAAGTTATTTTTTAATAATAATAATTAATAATAATTCATTACATTTACATAGCGCTTTTCTTGGCACTCAAAGCGCTTTACATAGAAGGGGGGATCTCCTCAACCACCACCAATGTGCAGCATCCACCTGGATCATGCGACGGCAGCCATATTGCGCCAGAACGCCCACCACACACCAGGTTACTGGTGGAGAGGAGACATAGTGATGAAGCCAATTGGTATATATATATGGGGATGATTAGGAGGCCATGATGGACAGAGGCCACTGGGCAAATTTGGCCAGGATGCCGGGGTTACACTCCTACTCTTTCGAAAGACATCCTGGGATTTTTTGTGACCACAGAGAGTCAGGGCCTCGGTTTAATGTCTCATCCGAAGGATTTTTAAAACGGAGAGGGTGAAATGTCCATTTATGAAAATTATCAGCCACGTGTAAACGTAGCCTCAGTCTTTGTCCAATCTCTGTTGCGTTTATGTGTGTTTTCCCTGCCTGTCAGCTTGTTCCAGAGTACTATTATTAAAGTTTTGAGTTTGTATCTAATCGGAGTCTTCAGTCTGTTCCTGAGGAAACCACAGTGTGACACTTTGAAACAATTTTAGTCAAATTTCTCAAATGATTACAAAGAAACATAGTTAACACATTAAATTAACACGATTTAATAAGACTGACATAGTATTTTCTTGTAAAACAATCCAAAAATCTGTTTTATTTACAACTTTAAAAAAAAAAAATTTACGGTGTAGATGCAAAGTGCATCTAAATTCTCATTTTTCCTGTTAAGCAAGGTAAACCAACAGCATTGAGCTTGATGTATATTTGCAGTGCATGCGATAAACCTGCAGATGTTGGCCTTTTACTTGATGTAAACAAACCCTCAAAGGCAATAATGATCTGTAAGCAACCCGGGACCGCAGCTATTACTCATAACAAAGCGTTGTGTTGTCTGTATCTCTCTTCTGTTTGTACAGGCGTCGTGTCTCTAATCTCGCTGGCGGTGCTCTCTTACGAGCGCTACTGCACCATGATGGGGGCCACGCAGGCCGACTCTACCAATTACAAAAAGGTGGCCATGGGTATTGCCTTCTCCTGGATATATTCCATGGTTTGGACTCTTCCACCACTGTTTGGATGGAGCTGCTACGGTCCGGAGGGTCCCGGCACCACATGCAGTGTCAACTGGGCCGCCAGGACGGCCAACAACGTGTCTTACATTATCTGTCTGTTTTTCTTCTGCCTTATTCTCCCTTTTATCGTGATTGTCTACAGCTATGGAAGACTCCTCCAGGCTATCACACAGGTAGGTGTCAAAACTATTACCGTCTACTACAGCTGATGAGTAATTGGTTTCAAAGAAGCTTTCTGCCTAAAGTTACAGACCATTGTGTGATTTGTATAGAGACTTGGCATTAAATTAAGTATTGAATTAAGTGATTTTCTCACACGTAACTCTGAGTAATGATGCGTCATTGTTTTCACTATATCTCCGCATTTAAATGGTAAATGTTAGAGAAAGACAAAGAGGAAACTGCCATGAGACAATATATTTAAAAACAAAACGAAGCAGTGTTAGTATGCTGAGAGTAAAAAAAAAAAAAAAGCACAATTATTTCTATCTATTTCAAATAAATGCTGTTCTTTTGAAATTTCCAGAAACAAAGAATAACAAATGTATCAAGGTTAAGCAGCACAACTGTTTTCAACAGTGATAATAATAAGAAATGTTTCTTGGGCAGCAAATCACCATATTATTATGATTTCTAAAGGATCATATGATGGAAGACTGGAGTAATGATGCTGAAAATTCAGCTTTGCCATCACAGGAGTACATTATGCCAGATCAAGGTCGTCTGCTGTATCCTACAGAACTCAGCACTCAGATTCGGGCTGTAAGATAGGGAATTACAACATACAAATTGCATTCAGCATTCATTTTGAGAGCGTTTTTGCACTGTTACATGATTTAGATCATTCCTTTAGTGAATCAGTTGCTTAATGCAAATAAACAATTCAGAATTCATGAATTTCCCCCAACTACAGGCAACAAAGGTGTAGATCAAGGCATCTGCTTTCATATTTTATCATGAAGTAAAGTAATACATCATATTGTATTGAAATGTGTTGTACAATTGCAGGAAAAACAAAATGTTCTCCATGGTCTTGTGTAGAAAACTCCTTTACATTACTTTGCAGAGAAAATGCAGCTAATGATGTATGCAACCTTAGACTAGAGAAACAGTTACCTAGACGAACTTCAACTTCAATTAGCGTAATATTCATAAATTGTTATGAGTTTTCACAATGACCTTTTTGCACCATTAATTGACAAAACCCCTCAGAAGGCCTCTCGACCTGTGGTTTAAATTAAAAACAGTTTGAATATTTCAGCTCGCGGCAATTTCCTGTCTGTGTTCCTCTATCAGTTCCAATACCAGAGGAAGCCAGATTAATTCATTGTCGACTGCTCGACTCCGGGGAAATGTTCCGTGTTGTCCGATGATGATCAACGCCCTGGCAGTCAGCAACAATTGACAGTTATTCTCAGTGTTTAGTGTGAAACTTCTTGAATGCAAATTAAACACCATATTCTGTCAGGCACAGAGCAAATCGTGTCCTAATTTTGCATGAAGATGGGAAGAAAATAACATTTCAATTGAGAAGTAGTTTTTATTTGATTACTCAGAGTGGCCCAATTTTCTGAAGTAAACACAAAACAAGTGCTCCCAAAACTCCCACAATTCCTTTCCTTCCTCCCGCCCCTCGCAGAGTGGGTGAGCTAACAGAGGCCACCAGCTGCTTGCATCAAATGCACTGACACAACAAAATGCTTTGATTTGCAACTGAATTACTTTTCAAAAGCAACAATGAATGAAAAATCTCTGCGTCTAAATGGAGTACAATGTATGAAATGGATGTTTCAGCACTTTTAATATACTGTGATGTTCTGAGAGAGTTTGGAAATTAAAACATTCATGTTTATGTAAATTAGCCCGGTCTAAAATGGGCCATTGATGCTTTGAGAACTGGAAGCGTTTGAGAACTTTTCGTTTCCCTTCATTCAACAGCAACTCAAATCGCTCAGCCGGTGTCATTGCGTTAACATAAGCACTTTCATAAAGGTTATTTTGCCGTGCGAAAACTCTGCTGAATCTCATTTTGGTCTGAATGTCTTCTGTAGATTCTGTTGAAGACTTATCGCTAGACATCAGTGGTGTGATCTAACCTCAGAGGTGAAAAGACTTTGCTTCTCTGACAGATACATGCTTGTGAGAGCAGATAACTTTGAGCCTGGGCTTGTGTTGATAGATGCAGGAACAAAGGGAGGTCTCTCCTTAAGCCTGAGCGGAAATCATTTCCAATTAATGAGTTACTATCTCAAAAGGGCAGAGAGGAAAACGAACCTTTAGAATGGGTACCTCACATGGCTTATAACCTTGCAGTCTCCTTTTATTTTGCCTGTCATATACTTTATTCATCAAAGAATCCTGAAAAAAATCTGTCACAGTTTCTACAAAAATGTTAAAGAGTTTTCAACATTGATAATAATAAGAAATGTTTCTTGAGCGGCAAATCAGCATATTAGAATGATTTCTGAAGGATCATGTGACACTGAAGACTGAATTAAAGATGCTGAAAATTCAGCTTTGCCATTAGGAACAAAATTACATTTGAAAAATGTATGAAAATGGAAAAAAATTATAAACTCTAAACTCCTAATTAATGCTTATTAATAGTTAGTAAGGTAGTTGTTAAGTTTAGGAATTGGGTATGGATTAAGGATGTAGAATAAGGCAGTAATATGTGCTTTATAAGTAATAATAAATATCCTAGTAATATAATTAGCAACTAGTTTATAGTGAGAATTGGACCCTAAACTAAAGCTTTACTAAAATATCTTACTGACCCCAAACTTTTGAATGGTACTGTAGTTTAGGTCACTCTCACATCTGACTCTGTCTAAATATATTTTTGTCATTGCCGATATAGATGCATGTACAGATATTGCCTTTGCTCTGCATCTAAGTTTTGTCAATGGAGAAGAAAAAAAAAGCTGTATATAACATTTTGTGTTATATTCCTCACTAACCAGGGGCTGGTTGCATAAACTGCTTAGACTAGTCTTACAAGTTTTTTTTTCTTCAAGACTGTTCATAGCTATTTTAAATCAGTTACATGAAAAGACTGATTAGTCGTAACTAATTGCTAGTTTGTCAGACCAGTTCTTAAGGCATGGTCTTAATCTGGCAGCTATGTTTATGGAACTAACCCAGGGGATCCAATTGTGCCATTAGTCCCTTTGCAGCAACCCAGGGTTAAGTGCTTAAGTGCTCAAGATTTGCAGTTTTGGAGTCACCTCTACATGACATTTAACTTATACCACCATTCAAGTTATTGAGGGTTGTTCACAGTAGGTCTATAAATAGGGTAGACCATTAGTAACGTCATTGCCAACAGTATATAACAGTTCATATGATTCATGTAGATGCTTAGAGAGCGTGCATTATGACACCTCACACAAAATCATTTGCATAATGGTGTCCTGCAGATGATAAAATCATTGAATTTGATCAAAGGCATTTTTCCTTATCCGCTGCATGCCTTCAATTTATTTAGATGTCATTTAATGCAAGGCAATTATAGGCCAATCGTAGCATGAGATCAGATAACTAGAGTGTTGTCTCCACTGTATAAGAGTGATTGTAGCTCCACACCGATGGTATTGAACCACAGGCGCAGAGACCGAATGCTGATAAGCTCAGAGTCTTTTAGACAATTAGCACCCTGTGTGTTTATTCGAGATGTGACTCTGACCGTTCGATGCGGTGGAGTCCTAGGGGGACAGGTGTCAAATATATTCACCCTCCACTCTGATACATCTCAAAGGGGGAGATCAAAAATGCCACATGACATATTACACATAGTAACCGGCCCTTCGATTAAGCTAAAAGCTATTTTTAATTGCATACTGTACATCACAAGCAATCAATTGGATAATGATTCACGTACATTTACGATCAATAACTCCACAAACCACCTTTCAGGGTTTAATTCAGAGGTGGACAAAGTACACAACTTCCTTACTTGAGTGAAAATGGTAAATGGACTGCATTTATATAGCGCTTGCACAGACCCAATGGCCACCAAAGCGCTTTACAATTTGCCTCATATTCATTCACTCTCTCATTCATACACCGACGGGCGACGGCAGCCATGCAAGGCGCCATCCAGCTCGTCGGGAGCAGCTGGGGTTAGGTGTCTTGCTCATGGACACCTCGACACTTGGTCAAGTGGAACCGGGGATTGAACCACCAACCTTCCGGTTTGTAGACAACCTACATGAGCCACTGCCGCCCCGAAAGTGAAAAGTGAAAGTACAGATACAACCATTACAAGTAAAAGTTGTAAAGACCGATTTTTACTTCAGTAGAAGTACAGAAGTACTCGTTTTTAAAAGTACTTAAGTATCAAAAGTAAGAAGTAAATGTCAATGCATTGTTTTATTATTGTTTCATTGTTGTAATACTTACAGTACCTTATGCCTCTGAATCTATGTCTGCCTTCCTACCCTCATATCAATATCAAATTTATTTCTAGAACACAGTTCCAGTGGTGGATTGAATAAGTGCACTCAATAACGTCCCAAATGGCTGTTCCCTCAAATAGTGCCATTTTTAACGTTTTTTTTTGGCTTTAAGTATGTTAGCCTTACTGTTATCTATAAGTTAGTTTGCTCCAAAACAATGACAAAGTTCGCATTTAGAAGACCAAACCCAACTTTGTAAATGAAAATCAGGTTGATGTCAGAATCCAATGTCAGATTGATGTTAATCTCCAATGTTAGACAGACGCTGTATTGTGGTTGAAAATGAAAATCGGGTTGACGTCAGAAACCAACATCAGTCTGGTTCTGACGTCAACCCGACGTATATTTCCAACCGAAATCCAACGTCTATCCGACGTTGGGTTCTGACGTCAACCCGACTTTAATTTTCAACCAAAATCCAATGCCTGCAACCAAAATCATTCCCTGACTTACGTTACTACTTTCTACTCAAGGACCTTGACAGAAATGTAGTGTAGTAAAAAGTACGATATTTGTCTTTCAAATGTAGTGAAGTTAAAGTAAAAGGTTTCCAGAAAAAATAATACTATAAGTAAAGTACAGATACTCAAAAAGTGTACTTAAGTACAGTACTCAAGTAAATGTACTTTGTTACTGTCCACCAACATGCTACACTCTTAAAATCACCATGAAATCAAAATTGAATATTCCTATTTTTTTCTATATGGAATGTTGCA